AGAGAGAGACAGAGAGACCGAGAGAGAAAGCGACCAGGATGAGGAGGGAGGAATCTCAAGGGAAGGGGAGGGAGGAACATAGAGGAAAACAATGGGAGCCTTTGGGGGGTCTATGGAGGCCGTCGTCTGGCCACCTTGAGCTTTCTCGGGCGGTCTCGAGGCCATCTTGGGCCGTCTGGGCGTGTTGGGGCCCTCTGGGGCCGCCTGAGGGCCATCTTCGAGGGTCCTCGGGGCCCCAGTCCACCAATGGAAATTTTGGGCACTTGGTTTTGGCACCAGGGACGCCCACGCCGTACACACATATCTATATCTATATATATATATATACACACGTATACCATATGTATATATATCACATATATATATGTATGTATGTATGTATGTATGTATGTATGTATGTATGTATGTATGTATGTATTATGAAAAGGGGGCGATATGGTAGCGAGGTGCCGGGCCCCAAGAAGCGGATCGAGGTCCTCGGTTGTTTTGTCTTCTGGGGCTCTCGTCGTCGTCGCGGCTGGACGCATCTCCAAACGACGTTTTTTGTCCGATGAGGTGCAGGACGAGGACGGGGAGGGATATGAGGATGCAGAAGCATCAATAGCGATCAGAGCAGCAACTGGGCCGCCTGAAGCCGTCTTTTCGACGTCTCGGGAATTTCTTTGGGCCGTCTTGAACTCACACCACCGCCCGCACTTGGGATCCTGGGTGTTTGGAAGTCGTTACGTGATGGAACACAAGAACCAAGACGTCTTGGGCGTCCTCTTGGGGCCTCTTTGGGTCACTGCACGCCCTCTAGGGCCGTCCTGGGACCCATTTGGGGCGTCGTGGTGGGCCTTGGCTGCCTTGGGGCCTTGTTAGGGCCCTCTTGGAGGGAGGGTTCTTGGGGCCCTCTTGGACCTCTCTTGAGGCCATGTGGTACCTTCTGGGCCTTCTACGGGCCTTGGTTGGAGTGCCCTTGGGCCGTACTGGGACTCTCTCGGGCTGTCCTGGGGCCCTTTTTTGGAAGCGGCCGGCTTCTGCCGAATTCTGGGGCCTCGTGGGCTGTCTTGGCCCGTCGGAAGCATGACCAAGCTAGAACACGGAAAACCTTAGATGTTTCGCCTTCTGAAGGCCTCGTGAGACTTCTTTTGAAGGCCTCGTGGCTGTCTCAAGGCCTTCTTGGGCTGTCTTGAAGGCATGTTGGGCCATCGTGGAACGCTCTTTGGAGGTCGTGGGCTCTCTTGGACGTCTTGGAGCCTTCTTGGGCGTCTCTTGTGTATATATATATATATATTGTATCGGAGGTGAGGGGGTGAGATCGAAATGGAACGGAGAGCCCCCTACCGGGAAATCGGCTTCGGTTTCGTGTTCGTGCGTGCCGTGCGTGCGGGCAAGGCAAAGCTGCGTGGGCGGGCAAGAAATGTCCAGCCTCTGGCTGAGGCGCAGCCGGACCAAAAGTCTCCGTTCCGGCAAACGGTGCCCCGCGGTGTCCCGCCGGTGTCCCGCCGGTGTCCCGCCGGTGTCCCGATGATGATGATGATGATGATGATGATGATGATGATGATGATGATGATGATGATGGCGCTGTTGTTGATGATGATGATGATGATGATGATGGCCATGGTGGTGATGATGATGATGGTGTCCCGATGATGATGATGCTGATGTTGCTGATGATGATGATGGTGATGTCCCAGTGATGATGACGAAGATGTTGATGATCATGATGATGTTGATAATGATGAGATGATGAGATGATGGCGATGGTGTACCGATGATGATGATGATGAAGTTGATGATGATGCTGTTGATGACAATGGTGATGATGGTGTCCCGGTGATGATGATGACGATGATGGTGTCCCTATGATGATGATGCTGGTGATGAGGATGATGATGAGGTGATGGTGATGATTTTGATGGTGGTGGCCGATGACGAAGATGTTGCTGATGATGATGGTGTCCGGATGATGATGATGATGATGATGTTGACGCTGATGATGAGGTCCCGATGATGATGATATTGGTGATGATGATGTTGCTGATGATGATGGTGTTCCGATAATGATGATGGTGGTGTCCCAATGATGGTGATGTTGATGATGATGATGGTGACGATGATGGTGTCCCGATGATGGTGATGATGGTGATGATGATGATGGCGATGGTGGTGATGATGATGGTGTCCCGATGATGATGATGCTGATGATGCTGCTGTTGCTGGTGATGATGATTGTGTCCCGATGGTGACGATGCTGATGGTCCGGATGACGTGGATGATGATGAGATGATGAGATGATGATGATGATGAAGATGATGATGATGGTGCTGGTGTCCCGATGGTGATGATGAGGTTGATAATGATGCTGTTGATGGTGATGATGGTGATGATGAAGATGGTGTCTCGATGATGATGGTGACGATGATGGTGTTCGATGATGATGATGCTGATGATGAGGAGGTTGATGAGGTCATGCATATTTTGATGATGGTGGCCCGGTGATGACGATGCTGATGTTGATGATGATGATGGTGTCCCGATGATGTTGACGGTGATCATGATGGTTAAGACGATGATGGTGTCCCAATGATGGTGATGATGTTGATATTGCTGATGATGAGGATGGTGTCCCGATGATGGAGATGTTGACGATGTTGTTCATGATGATGATGAGATGATGATGATGGTGGTGTTCCGATGATGATGATGGTGTCCCGATGATGATGATGATGTTGATGATGATGATGACGACGATGTTGTCCCGATGATGGTAATGATGATGATGTTGGTGATGATTATGTTGAGGTGATGATGATGATGGTGTCCCGATGATGATGATGATGGTGATGATGATGATGATGATGATGCTGATGACGTTGATGACGAAGATGCCGATGACGATGATGACGTTGATTGTGAGATCGATTGTGACATCGATAGTGATATCGATTTTGAGACCGAATGTGAGATCGATTGTGAGATCGATCGTGAGATCGATTGTGATATCGACAGTCATATCGTTTGTGAGATCGATCGAATGATATAGATCGAGTGGTATCGATTGTGAGATCGATTGGGTGAGATCGATCGAGCGAGACCGATAGTGAGATCGATAGTAAGATCGATAGTGCGACCGATCGAATGATGTTGGTCCCCCCCCGAACCTCCTTATCACCCGAGGGGTGGTCGTATAGGTGTGTGTATATATAAATATATCAAATATATATATATATATAGATACGCACATATATATATATATACACGTATGTCTGTATATGTATATATGCAAATCATGAACACCTGCGTGTCTCCTCACGGGTTCGCTGTTCCTGAAGGGTCCCAGGAGGCGATGTTTCGGGCTCCAGGGCCGGATGTCTGAGATAATCGGGACCCCACCCTTTTTGCTTGATGTCCTCCATGATGGCCCCATGAGGGTCCCCCAAGAGGGCCCCAGGACACCCGCAAGAGGGCTCGGACTGCTCTTGACACGGTCACGGGATGACTGCAAGAGAGGCCTTCGAGAGGTTCCCCGAAGCCTGTCTCACTCTTGGTCCAGGGCTACCAAGTCAAAAAGAGGCAGCCCGAACCTAGCAAGTACGTTAACAAAAAGAACCCTCAGCATGCGTGCTGCGCGGACCCGGCCCTGTCTCCTTGAAAGAAGGCCGGCCAACTGGCAAGCTCCCTGCAGGTTTGGGAACCTATGCCACACGGTCTCTCCCTTTGGATTGAAAAGAATCAACTGGTCTCCCCTCTCGGCCATGGCCCTCACAATGAAGATTCGACGCGTCCACGGCTCGGCCGTAGGCTTTCGTCCTCGCGGTAAGATCTGCGAGAGAGGGCGATCGGAGGGCCTCGCTCAGCATGAACTCAATGTACACAATGAGACCGCTGGGCGTGAATAGGGGCTGGTACTTGCGCAGGAGGGCATAACGTCGCTTCACTTCTTCGTCTGACATGCTCTCGATGAACGCCTTCAACTCCTGGAGCTCACTCATCGCTGTCACCACCCCGAAATCGTTCCACCTGATTCCGAGGTCCCGGTACGGAAGCCAAACAAAAGGGTCTGACAAATCTTCGCTGACCATTGGGGGGGAGCACCAGGTCGGAGCACCACGAGACTGCTTGTAAGCCTTGTCATCTCCAATCGAACTGGCAATTATGATTGGCAGAGCGCCTGATTGCACGATCTCGTACAAACCAAAAGACGGCGGATAGCATCCCGACGCAGCCACCGCCCACGTGGAATTGTAGAGGTGTTGGAGATACTCTTCAAAAGGGAGCAGATCATCCGTGTGGTTGCTACATCTGCGAATGATCCAATTATACCGCGCTGCGGCATGTGCATGTTCTGGTGGCAGATCCTTCCCTGGTCCCAATCGCGATCGCGACATGCTGAAATGACAAGAGCCGGCGAAGAACACATCTCTGTCTCTCTCTTCTCTCGTCGCATGCGAGACCGCTGACGTACGGAGTAAAGGGATAGGTATGCGGTGGGGAACGGTCTGAAAACAATCAGCACCACGCGAGTCAAATATCAGCACGTTGGTCCAATTAATTTTGTTATCTGGCAGCTGGTACGCGCACGCCTGTGTCATCACAGTGAAGTACTGAAACTCGCTGTGGTCAAGGGACTCCAAAAGCTGAACGGCCATGCCCCGCGGCACACTTGTGCTATTCTTGTAGACATAATTCTCCACCACGAGATGCCAGGGAATCGGGATGTACACCAGCCCCAGATACCACGTCGGATCCCTGAAGCGTTCGGAAAAGTGCGCCCAGAACACGTCGTCGAAGGTGGGCCACGCACCCGTCCCGAAGCTCTGAGCGCAGCCGGCGCCGCCCTCGCGAGGCACGCACGGCCACGAGCGTATCGGCAGCGTCCGCTGCAGCATCTCCGTCTGAGCCCGCCTCCAGGCCCGCAGCTCCGCGCCGCCGCCTGCCCGCAGGCGCGTCGCCCTCCGCAGCGCCGGCAGCACGTGGCCTACCCGCCGCACGTCGACGCTCGCCGCGGGCAGCTCCTTCGTCGATGGCCAGAGGAGGAGGAGGAGGAGGAGGAGGAGGAGGAGGAGGAGGAGGAGGAGGAGGATTAGGAGGAGGAGGAGGAGGAGGAGGAGGAGGATAGGAGGAGGAGGAGGAGGAGGAGGAGGAGGAGGAGGAGGAGGGGGAGGCGAGGGGGATGAGGTGGAGGAGGAGGAGGAGGAGGAGCCCCCCTCCGCGGCGTGCTCGCATCCGCTGGCCCCCGCGGCGAGCCCCACCACCGCTGCCTCTCTCAGGCCGCCCTCGCCGCGCGGGTAAGGCCAGCCGGGCACGGCGCGCAGGGCCAGCAGGGGCAGGGCGAAGAGGGCCGAGAGCACCGAGGCCGCGTGGGGAGTCAAATGCGTCCCCCTCCGCACGGGCTGCGCACCATCGCTCCCGTCACTGGGCTGCTCGTCCGAGCTGAGGTCCATCCTGGACGTTTCTCTCAACGGCTGGTCGAAACGAGAGGCGGCACATCTATGTACAGAACTTACCTGGGCCAAGATGGCTTGAGCCGGCACGGATTCAACCACAATGGCCAAGAAGATCCGCAGAGGCCTTTATGATTGACTCCTTGCGACGCGGTTGTCTTCTTACTCCCCTATCCTCCTCCTCCTGCTTCTCCTCCTCCTTCTCCTCCTCCCACTACCACAAGTTGAACGGGAACGTGACCCACCAACTTCCTCTTCCTTATGCACGCCCTCCTCCTCCTCCTCCTCCACCTCCTCATCCTCTTCCTCTTCCTCTTCCTGCTCCTCCTCCTCCTCCTCCTCCTCCTCCTGCTCCTCCTCCTGCTCCTCCTCCTCCTCCCTCATCCTGATTGTCTTCCTCCCTTCTCATGTGTCTGCTCCTCCTCCTCCTCCTCCTCCCCCACTTCCTCCTCCTTTCTTAGGCAAGCTGCTCAGTCACTGGGACCTCAAGCGTCACCTCCTCCTCCTCCTCCTCCTCCTCCTCCTCCTCCTGCGGAAGGGCTGCGAAGGCATGTCCGACTCGCTCGTGGGTCTTCTTGGGCTGATCCTGACTTTCGGTTCGACGGCTGCCCCCCCCGCTCTTTGGCTCACCGCACGCTCACAATTACGCTTCCCGGACTCACGAGTCGCGAACCCCTCCTTACCAGCCTGGAACATATCCCTATCCCTATGTTGGGCATCAACTCATCACGATGGCGATCTTAGGGATTTCCTCAGTTTCGGAGGATGTATCCCTAAGATTGTCGTCTCCATTTAGCGTGTCAATCTTAGGGATAGGGATAGGTTCGAGGCTGGTGACATCCTTCTTCCGCGCCCTCGCGGGGCGGACTCGTGGGCGCGATCCCGCGGATGCGCAGTCCTACGGCTCCACCGCCGTGCCTCCGGGCACGGAGTGGGCGTGCCCTCAGGTCCTGGGCCCAATCTTAAGTCGGGCGTGTCCCCCTACAGGGGGATTTTCGACAAAAAATAAAAAATACCCAGAAATGCCTAGTCCCCTGACTATTTTTGGACTATCTGTTGATTATTTTGGGGGGATCTTTTATTTTTCATCGAAAATCCCCCTGCAGGGAGACAGGCCCGACTTAAGCCCAATCTTCTAAGCCTCAACCCTCGCTCCTGAGAGATCGCTGCGTGGCCCCGGACCCCTCGCCCCCCGGTCTCCCTGGGCCTCCCGCGTGCCTCTCTGGGGGCTCGTCGCGTGAAACCCCCGGGTCTCCGGGAGGTGGGCGCGAATATTTGCAGACCCAAAGAGGCCCCAAGATGGAAGGCAACCCACATGTCAGATCTGCAAAAGGCCCAGGAGGCCTCAAGAGTTTCAGACCCAAGGGGCCCCAAGCCACCCCCACATCTCATATCTCCAACAGGCCCCAAGAGGCCCCGAGATGGACGGCAACCCACACGTCATGTGTACAAAAGGCCCGAGAGGCCCCAATATTTTCAGACCCAGGAGGCCCCGAGAGGCCCCCGCAGCTCATATCTTTCAAAAAGGCCTCTTTCCCTCCAGAGCCCGTGGCCCGACGGCCGTCGTCGGCTGCCCGTGCCCCACGAGAAGAAGCCCCTGGCCACTGGCAAAAAGCATGCCACCGCCGAGGGCCGGGGACAAACAAGTATCTTGAAAGCGAAAACGTGTTTGATAAACTCTCAGCAAAAAATATTGAAAGCGAGCAAGTGTTTGAGAAACTCTCAATGTTTAAAATGAAAGGCTGCCGCGCACGGAATGGCCTGGGGCATGGATCAGATCGCGCCATCGCGCACGTGCCAGGGCCTAATCTGATAAACGCAAGAACGCGTTTACAAAACACGCAAATCCTGCTTTACAAAAAAGGAGGTTTACACAAGTATGCGTAAAACCGGAAGCGTCGCGATTGGCAATCGTCGCCGTAGGGGGCGACGCAGTCCAGAAGCATTCCGGAAACATATAAAACAACAACAACTGGGTGTGGAGGTGGGTGGTTCTCACTCGAAAGATGGGCCAAGAAAGCCTCGAGAGGCCTCCCAAGACGGTCCAAGAGGGCTCCGAGTCGCCAGCGGATCGCCCCAAAACGCGCAAGATGGCCTTCAGACGGCCCAGGAGGCCTCCAACACGCCCCAAGAGGCCTCCAAGAAGCCTCTCAAGATGACCCCAAGAGGCCAAATTCATTGAGTCTCTTTTGGTTGTTATATACACACGCACACACAATTGTTTGTCGTTCTCGCCTTTGCGGCTCCCCGACGCTCCCAGGCGGCCCTAGAGGCCCCCAAGACCGCCCCCAAGACGGCCCAAGAAGCCTCCAAGAGAGCCCCAAAACAGCCAGAGAGAGCCCCAAGACCCAAGACGGCCCCAAGATGCGTCCGAAGCGGACCTAGAGCCCCAAAATGGCCCCCAAAAAACCCAAGGAAGGGAACACGAACCGCAAATCCGAGCCTTCCGCCCCACGAGGCGCCTAGGAGGCCGCCAGGAGGCCACAAGAGGCGCCCAGGATGCCCCACGAGGCCCCCAAGAGGCCCTCAAGAGGCCCCACGAGTCCCCCAAGAGGCCCAAAAGAGGTCCGAAGAGGCCCCAAGACGCTCCCAAGAGGCACCCAAATTGACTCCAAGAGGCCCCCGAGAGGACAGGCTTCACACCCACAACCCAGGCACGGTGGCGGGGTGGGCCGAGATGGCCATTTGATCCGCCGCTCCCTGTTGACTTATCACTGGGGTGCCGAGCGTGCTGAACCCTACGGTTTTTGGTTTGGGTTCTTTTCCAAAAGAACCCCCTCTGGGGCTTCGGCCTGGCGCGCCGGGGTGCCCCTCCCGTCGGCTTTGCATTGCCTCCATGACGGCCAAGCTGCTTGCATGACGGCCCCAAGAGAGCCCACGGTAGCCCCAAGATGGCCTCCAACACGGTCTCAAGATGCCTCCAAAATCGCCAAGATAGTCCAAGAGTGCCCAAGACGCCGCAAGAAACGCCCATTTGTTTCTTTTCGGCCTTCCGACGGCCCGAGACGGCCCAAGAGCCCCCAACGATCGCCCTAAGACCGCCCAGGAGGCCTCCAAGATGGCCCCAGAAAAGGCCCAAGAGGCCCCCGAAGACGGCCCCCGAAGGGCCCCAGGACGGCCCAAGAGGCCTCCAAGACGCCCACGATGGCCTCCCAGGAACACCCCAAGAGGGCCCTAAGACGGTCCAGCGCGCCGGGGTGCCCCTCCCGTCGGCTTTTCATTGCCTCCATGACGGCCAAGCTGCTTGCAAGACGGCCCACAGAGAGCCCACCGTAGCCCCAAGATGGCCTCCAACATGGTCTCAAGATGCCTCCAATATCGCCAAGATGGCCCAAGAGTGCCCAAGACGCCGCAAGAAACGCCCATTTGTTTCTTTTCGGTTTTCCGACGGCCCGAAACGGCCCAAGAGCCCCCAAAGATCGCCCTAAGATCGCCCAAGAGGCCTCCAAGATGGCTCCAGAAAAAGCCTAAGAGGCCCCGGATGACGGCCCCCGAAGGGCCCCAGGACGGCCCAAGAGGCCTCCAAGACGCCCACGATGGCCTCCAAGGAACACCCCAAGAGGGCCCTACTTACGCAGGACGAAAGATTTTCCTCTTGAGGTGCAAATGGCCATGAGGAGTTCGCGAGACAACGTCGGCGCCGCCGAACGGACGGCGACCGGACGAGCTGTTTGCAGCAACTGGGGGGGGGGGGAGGGATGTATGTATTCATGTTGAATGGGGCCTGTTCGCGCGGGGAGTTGATGGGAATGCGCGAGCCGACGCAGGGTCCATCGTGCAAAGTTGATTACTGAACCCCCCTTCCCCCATAGAATCTTAACACGGGCGGTTTGCGGGATCCGCGGATCCGATTTCTTCTGGCCCCCTGGTTTAATTTAATAATACAAATTTTAAACAGGGTAGAAATCGGATCCGCCGTAGAAAATAAGACTGGACACGGATCCAGCGAATCCGAAATCGGATCCGTACGGACGGAAATCGGATCCACCGAAACAAACACCCAAGCCACATTTGGATCCGCCCGAACTTCATGGGATCCGGCGGCGGTTATCTCATACGGGTCTGCTCAAGACTTCACACGGTCGTTCCGAGCCCAAGAGGAAAAAACTTTCGTCCTGGGGATGAGCGTTTTGGCCTTCGGACTCGTTGGTTATCATCTAGCCGACACGCCACGCCTCACAAGCAGTCCGTTGTTTGTTACCACACAACCGACACCACATCTCACAGGCAGTCCGTTGGGTGAGGAAACGCAGGGCCGAAACGCACTTACGCAGGACGAAAGATTTTCCTCTTGAGGTGCAAATGGCCATGAGGAGTTCGCGAGACAACGTCGGCGCCGCCGAACGGACGGCGACCGGACGAGCTGTTTGCAGCAACTGGGGGGGGGGGGAGGGATGTATGTATTCATGTTGAATGGGGCCTGTTCGCGCGGGGAGTTGATGGGAATGCGCGAGCCGACGCAGGGTCCATCGTGCAAAGTTGATTACTGAACCCCCCTTCCCCCATAGAATCTTAACACGGGCGGTTTGCGGGGTCCGCAGATCCGATTTCTTCTGGCCCCCTGGTTTAAT